TAACCTGTTTGTTTTAAATAATGTGGGGAAATTTATTCAGAACAATCTTATCACTAAAAAACAAGATTACTTAAGTACATGCTTTAAATAAACATTAAAAATGTATGAAAAATTTTAAAATAATGTATTTTGAAATAACACAAAACAAGAAAAACATTTTGACAAACTGTGATTAGCCTTAATTCTTAATAAATAGTGATGTAATTAACAATTGCATTTTAAAGTCAGTACATTTTTAAAAAAAAAGTTTCTTATAATAAACATTTACAATGGATTGCAGGTACCCATACGCAAGGCAGCTACATCTGCAAGAAATTAAAAGAAGAATGGAATATTTTTAATAAGATTTATACGAAAGTTTTTATATAAAAGTTATTTAAATATGTGGTTTTTTATAAACTATAAATAACAAAATATTGTAAAAACCAATCTTTATAAGTTTAAGAGTCTGATTCAGCAGATCTGTAGGACATTTTATTTTAAAAGCTTTTATGAAAACGATTCAATTCTTTAATGAATATATTTCAATCGGTTCATTAAAAATACTCAGAATCGAAGAGTCTATAGACTAGGCTATAGAGTGGACTACTAGACTTTAGATTAGTCCACTCCATAGCCTAGTCTATAGACTAGACTATAGACTAGGCTATGGACTAGACAAAACTTTACCCTATAGACTATACTATGGACGAGATTATAGTGTTATGATCTAGACTTTAGACTAGACTATAGATAGACTAGACAATATACTAGACTATAGACTAGCCTATAGACTAGACTATAGACTAGACTATAGACTAGACTAGCCTATAGACTAGACTATAGACTAGACTATAGACTAGACTATAGACTAGACTATAGACTAGACTATAGACTAGACTATAGACTAGACTATAGACTAGACTATAGACTAGACTATAGACTAGACTATAGACTAGACTATAGACTAGACTATAGACTAGACTATAGACTAGACTATAGACTAGACTATAGACTAGACTATAGACTAGACTATAGACTAGACTATAGACTAGACTATAGACTAGACTATAGACTAGACTATAGACTAGACTATAGACTAGACTATAGACTAGACTATAGACTAGACTATAGACTAGACTATAGACTAGACTATAGACTAGACTATAGACTAGACTATAGACTAGACTATAGACTAGACTATAGACTAGACTATAGACTAGACTATAGACTAGACTATAGACTAGACTATAGACTAGACTATAGACTAGACTATAGACTAGACTATAGACTAGACTATAGACTAGACTATAGACTAACTATAGACTAGACTATAGACTAGACTATAGACTAGACTATAGACTAGACTATAGACTAGACTATAGACTAGACTATAGACTAGACTATAGACTAGACTATAGACTAGACTATAGACTAGACTATAGACTAGACTATAGACTAGACTATAGACTAGACTATAGACTAGACTATAGACTAGACTATAGACTAGACTATAGACTAGACTAGACTAGACTATAGACTAGACTAGACTAGACTATAGACTAGACTAGACTATAGACTAGACTAGACTAGACTATAGACTAGACTAGACTATAGACTAGACTAGACTATAGACTAGACTAGACTATAGACTAGACTATAGACTAGACTATAGACTAGACTATAGACTAGACTATAGACTAGACTATAGACTAGACTATAGACTAGACTATAGACTAGACTATAGACTAGACTAGACTATAGACAAGACTATAGACTAGACTATAGACTAGACTAGACTATAGACAAGACTATAGACTAGACCATAGACTAGACTATAGACTAGACTATAGACTAGGCTATAGACTAGACTATAGACTAGACTATAGGCTAGACTATAGACTAGACTATAGACTAGACTATAGACTAGACTATAGGACTAGACTATAAACTAGACTATAGACTAGACTATAGACTAGACTATAGACTAGACTATAGACTAGACTATAGACTAGACTATAGACTAGACTATAGACTAGACTATAGACTAGACTATAGACTAGACTATAGACTAGACTGTAGACTAGACTATAGACTGGACTATAGACTAGACTATAGATTAAACTATTAATTAGACTATAGTGTGGACTATAGACTAGACTATAGATTAAACTATTAACTAGACTATAGTGTGGACTATAGACTAGATTTTATACTAGACTATATAATAGACTATAGACAAGACTAGACTAAAGCCTAGACTAGTTTATAGCCTATATTATTGACTAGACTTTAGACTAAACTATACACTATAGCCTAGACTATATATAGACTAAACAAAGAAAAATTACAACTTACTTTTACCACATCTTTGTGCACAACCCAAACGTCCATTATTATGATAATTTTCCATATCACTACCACAAACAGGATTATATTCCATTGTTGAGGGGCATGACTGCATACAGGCCAAAAATTGTGGTGATGCTGTTGTTGGAGTGCCAGCTGGAGCGGGTGTTGTTACACTATTACCATTATTATTATTATTATTATTATTTAAGTTGTTATTAGAATTGCCGGGAAAGAAGACATTGTTGCCACCACCAATAAAGCCTTGATTGGGGAACTGTTGAACGGGAAAACGTTGATTGGGAAATTGTTGAACGGGAAAACGTTGGGGTCTAGCCAAAGTAACAGCTACGCAAAGAACTGTAAGAAGAAATAAATTTAATTTAAAAACAAATTCTAAAATGTGACCAAATATGTTTATAAATAAATAAATTTAATTTTAATAGAAATTTTTAATTTCAAAAATTCTAACAATTTTAGTAAATACTTTTATAAAATGAAAATTTTAAATTAAATTTAACGGAAACACTTAAATTCAAACAATTTTGATTTCAAAACTGTTTGTTTTGCACAATTCTTTTATACAAAATGTGGCAATAATAAAATAAAAAATTCTATAATTTACCAAAGATTAAGAAAGACTTCATTTTTTTCTTTTATTTTTTATTTAAAATTAGTTTAAGAACGTTTTAACTGCTTCCTAGATTGTCTGAAATGATACTGCCAATAGTTGGCAGCAAAAAGTTCTGTAAATATTAAAATATTCTCAACATACATGATATTAATATGTCATTATACATTTGTATCTCTATACATACATATGTACGTGAGTGTTTATATATAAATATGGAAATAAAAAATCCCAATATTGACATTGATAAGATCAATACTTAATATTTTACGCTGGATGCTTTTGCTTGGCTTTACCAACACATGTGCTGGTGTTGAGCATGAGGTGTGTTTCCAACTAAATCAAGTTTCTTTTCTCTTTGTCAATGATTAAGGTTTTTCAACTTTAGAAAGAGTAAAAAAAATTAAACAGAAAGTGTATTTTTTAAATATTTTGTAGAATTTATAGTTAATGTCAAGGCGAATCTAATAATCGATTCGTTTTAGTTAATGTAATTTAATAACTTTATTATGTGGTTGTTGTCATTGTTGAGTGAGTAATTTATTTACGTAGTGGCTTTTCTTCTTGTAAATCCTTTTAGTTAATTAGCAAAAAACAACTACGAGAAATTATGTTGCTAATTGAGGAAGGAAGTTTATTTAAAATCAGGTTTTTTATCATAATGTATTAACCTACTAAGAGATTATTGTACCAATTGTTACCAAGAAATACTTAATATTTTCAGTTTGTGGGAATTACTGTAAATTTGGCGGGTAAATCCCTTAAACCAGACAGCTAAGCTGTTATATATTTGGGAGAATTCTTTTAATAAAACACTTTTTGGTGAAGTCCAAAATAAATTACAAATGAAGGCCTAATAGGGGGCCGAAATTTAATAATTCTTGTGTAAAATTTTCGTCTTAATTGTCAACATTTTCGAATAAAGTTTTTATTGAAAAATTTCAAATGGATATTGAAAAGTCGAACAAAAATGTTGTTTCTAATAAAAATTTTGAAATCATAGTTTTCAAACACAAATTTTGATATAAAAATTTTGAAAATTTTCGACAAAATAAATATATTCGAATTTTTCAATAAATTTTGAAACAAACAAAAATTTTGAAAATTTTCAAACAAAAAAAATTTAAAAGAAAATTTTAAACATTTTTTTAACATAAATTTATAAAAAACTTTGAACAAAAATTTCAAAGAAAATCGAACAAAAATTTTAAAAAAATCGAAAAAAAATGTTGACATAATTTAAAAAAAAAAATCTAAGAAAAATGTTGAAATAAAAATTAACTTTTTAATAAAAATTTTGAAATAAAAATTTTTATACAATTTTGAAATTTTATAATATAAAATTTTTAATTAAAACCAAATTTTAAAAAATCGAATATAAATGTTAAAACTTCGAAAAAAAATCGAACAAAAATTTTGACCAAATTTAAAAAAAAAATCGAATAAAATTTTGAAATAAAAATTAACGTCTCGAATAGAAACTTTTTGAAATACAATTTTGAAATTTTATAATAAATCTTGTTATAAGTGTTAAACAAACATTTTAAAACAAAGTTTTGAAAAAAATAAATAAAAATTTTGAAATAAAAATGAATAACAAAATTTATATTAAAAATTAATAAAAATTTTTGAAATGAAAATTATTATTTTCGAAAAATTTTAGAATCAAAATTTTAAAATGTTCAAAAAGAGTTAAAATTTGGAAATAAAAATGTTCAAATAAAAATTTTTGTACAAAAATTTTGAATAATTTTTAAAGACAATTTTCAAATAAAAATTTTGAAATAAAAATTAACATTTAGAGCTAAAATTTTGTCGTAAAAATTTTCGAAATTAAAATTTTTTAATACAAATTTTGTAATAAAAGTTTTGAAATTTTAAAATTATAAAAAATCGAAAATTGTGTAATAAAAAAGTTTTCATAAAAATATTTTAAAGTGAAAATTATTGAATTTAAATGATCATTTCGAAAATAAAAGTGTTAAAATGTTAATTTCAAATGAAAATTATTGATCGAAAATTTTGAAATTTTGGGAATTACCAAAAAAAAAGTTTTGAATTAAACATTTTTGATCAAAAATTTTAATGCTAAAATTAATGAAAAAATTGTTTCAATAAAAATTAAAAAATAAAAAAATCGAATAAATATTTGAAAAAATGTTTTTTTTATCACTGTAAGAAAAGTCAAATCAACTTCAAATTGTTCACTTTAATTAAAATAAAATACTTTTTATTCATTTTATTTTCATTGAAGTTTTTTTTTATTAAAATCCTTTGCAATAAACGAACTTAAAGAAATACAATTTTTAAAAATTACTTTCAAGCTAAAGAAATTTATGTTTATATAAAACAAATTAAATAAATTTATGTACATTCATATATTAAACTTATTTAAATAAAATGTACTGGTCTCAGTTAAATTTTTATTTTATTTTAAAATTAATGATGTCTTTCGTTTATACAAGTATAATGGACTTGATTATGTCTAAATATTTCGTTCATAGTAATACAATTTCATATACTACTTAAAATAGTATAGTTAAAAATATAAAACTATAAAGTAAAAGTAAACACCTTAAGTAGCCAATAATTAATTAAATTGTACGTTTTTTTTCTACCACAATTTGATTGTTTAATAAAATTTTGTTAATTAAAAATAAAAATTTCACTATTTAACAGAAATTTTTATTAATTAGTTAATAAAATCTTACAAACGCAAGCTTAAAGAAGTACCAAGTTTTTAAATTAAATTTTATAAGAAAAAAACAAATAAAATAAAAAAATAATAAATGTTCGAGTTTAATTCATCAATATGTCTTTAATTCAACTATTTATCATTCGCTACAGCATACACCATGGCTTTCTCCTTCTTTTTATGCTCTAAAAATTTAGCTTTCCTCTTCGCCTTTGATGAGGTCGTTGGTGTATTATCATCTTCTTGTTCGGATATGGAATTACTTAAAAGGCGATTACGTGTACCATTGGTGGCAGCGGTAGCATGTTTTTCCCTTTTCGAGGATTCTTTACTATTTAAACGTCTCTGTTTGATATCGGGCGAAACAAAGAAACCGCATATTTTATCATTACGCAAAACCAAATTTATATCTATAGTCGAAAATAGTTGCAATTTTATGGGTGGCAATTGAGAATTTTTCTCTGCGATCGAAATTGAGTTAGGCACATTTGTTGTATCTACTAGTACTTTTTGTAGTTTGTACGTTATAGCGATTGTATGACCGGTTTCAATTGTTACCACATTAAGCATATGTTTACAGATTTCGGTGACTACCGCTTTAAGAGTTAGGGATTGTTTGGCTTTGACATAACGTGTAAAGAAGAGTTCTATGGATTCATCACCGGCACTTTTGGCGTTTAGTTTTTGATCATTGCAGATTTTAGCCAAGTGATGCAATTCGTCGGTGGTTCTTTGGGGTGGTGGGCAGTAATTGAGGGCAGCGGCAAGTAGTCTAGAAAGGAGGAAAAGAAAAGGGGGGAGGAAGAGAAGGCAGGCGCGAAAGGCAGGAGCGAGCGAGCGAGGAGCGAGCGAGCGAGCGAGCGAGCGAGCGAGCGAGCGAGCGAGCGAGCGAGAGCGAGCGAGCGAGCGAGCGAGCGAGAGCGAGCGAGCGAGCGAGCGAGCGAGCGAGGGGGCGAGCGAGCGAGGGAGCGAGCGAGGGAGAGAGCGAGCGAGCGAGCGAGCGAGCGAGCGAGCGAGCGAGCGAGGCGAGCGAGCGAGCGAGCGAGCGAGGGGGCGAGCGAGCGAGGGAGCGAGCGAGCGAGGGAGCGAGCGAGCGAGAGAGCGAGCGAGCGAGCGAGCGAGCGAGCGAGCGAGCGAGCGAGCGAGCGAGCGAGCGAGGGAGCGAGCGAGGGAGCGAGCGAGCGAGCGAGCGAGCGAGCGAGGCGAGCGAGCGAGCGAGCGAGCGAGCGAGCGAGCGAGCGAGCGAGCGAGCGAGCGAGCGAGCGAGCGAGCGAGCGAGCGAGCGGCGAGCGAGAGAGCGAGCGAGCGAGCGAGCGAGCGAGCGAGCGAGCGAGCGAGGAGCGAGCGAGCGAGCGAGCGAGCGAGCGAGCGAGCGAGCTAGCGAGCGAGCGAGCGAGCGAGCGAGCGAGCGAGCGAGCGAGCGAGCGAGCGAGCAGCGAGCGAGCGAGCGAGCGAGCGAGCGAGCGAGCGAGCGAGCGAGCGAGCGAGCGAGCGAGCGAGCGAGCGAGCGAGCGAGCTAGCGAGCGAGCGAGCGAGCGAGCGAGCGAGCGAGCGAGCGAGCGAGCGAGCGAGCTAGCGAGCGAGCGAGCGAGCGAGCGAGCGAGCGAGGAGCGAGCGAGCGAGAGAGCGAGCGAGCGAGCGAGCGAGCGAGCGAGCGAGCGAGCGAGAGCGAGCGAGCGAGCGAGCGAGCGAGCGAGCGAGCGAGCGAGCGAGCGAGCGAGCGAGCGAGCGAGCGAGCGAGCGAGCGAGCGAGCGAGCGAGCGAGCGAGCGAGCGAGCGAGCGAGCGAGCGAGCGAGCGAGCGAGCGAGCGAGCGAGCGAGCGAGCGAGCGAGCGAGCGAGCGAGCGAGCGAGCGAGCGAGCGAGCGAGCGAGCGAGCGAGCGAGCGAGCGAGCGAGAGAGCGAGCGAGAGCGAGCGAGCGAGCGAGCGAGAGAGCGAGCGAGCGAGCGAGCGAGCGAGCGAGCGAGCGAGCGAGCGAGCGAGCGAGCGAGCGAGGCAGCGAGCAGCGAGCGAGCGAGCAGCGAGCGAGCGAGCGAGGAGCGAGCGAGAGGAGCGAGCGAGAGCGAGCGAGCGAGCGAGCGAGCGAGCGAGCGAGCGAGCGAGCGAGCGAGAGAGGAGCGAGCGAGAGCGAGCGAGCGAGCGAGCGAGCGAGCGAGCGAGCGAGCGAGCGAGCGAGCGAGCGACCGAGCGAGCGAGCAGCGAGAGAGCGAGCGAGCGAGCGAGCGAGCGAGAGCGAGCGAGCGAGAGAGCGAGCGAGCGAGCGAGCAGCGAGCGAGCGAGCGAGCGAGCGAGCGAGCGAGCGAGCGAGCGAGCGAGCGAGCGAGAGAGCTAGATCTATCGATCTATCGATCTATCATCTATATATCTATCATCTATATATCTCATCTATCTATCCATCTATCGATCGAGCTATCTGATGCAC